ATTTAAAAAGTGGCGGAAAAAGGTGCTCGTTCTGGAACGTCACCCGGGGCCTAAGGGTTAATTGAAACAATGTTGGCATGTCTTCCTCCGATAAGAAGATTCCAGAAATATGATTTACGATAAAAACCTTTACTATACAGTACTGTAATGGTATTGTCTTCTTATCCCATTTTCCACTCTTATTATAAACTACCCTTAACATAACCTAACTCCTTTATGAGACATGCAATGGGGCAGTTGGGACACATACAGTTAATAAAACACAATAATTTGAGACCATAGCAAAAAAACCAAAGATGTGACTACACTGTAAATCGCAAAAAAAAAAAAATGACCAAACAGACTAAAAGTCATGTCAGATCATTCAAGGATGCATATAAAGAGCCCTTCAGAATTTCATTGCTCTTTGTTGGATCCTGCTAACAACCATGGGTAAGATGTAAAGGACAGGTACAAATTAATATACCGAACTGTGTACTGTATAAATATAATAAAAATAACAACAATAGTAGAAATATAACAATGGAAGTAATAGTGAGTGAGGATAGTAATAGTAAAAGAGTAACAGTAATAAGAGCAACAGTAGTTATAAGAAAACCAATAATTGCAATAGTATTAGAATTTACAATGAGAAAAGTAGTAATATTGTATTAACGATAGCAACAGTAAGAGTAATAATATAAGGAATAACAAAGGTAATATCAGTAATACTGTACTATTGTAATGGTAATTTGTAATATAAACCTGGACTTTTTGCTGTGTTATCACAATGAGTTCATAAATTCACTTTAACTTCAACACAAACAATTATCCCAGAAATAGCATGTGTGGGGAAGACAATGTTCCTTAACTTTTTATATCTGGTGTTGATGATGAAGTTTATCTATTTAATAAGTCTTCTAACTTACTGATAAGCAGACAGTGACTGTACAAACCCCCAAACAGGTAACTGTCAATTACTGAAAACCAGACTTATATTGGTACCATGTACAGTACTGTATGTACAGAACTATCCGATATAATACCATAGAAGATATTATTATACTGGATGTAGTATTACTGATGCGAAGAATATAGCGACATCTCCATTCGCCGGAACAATTGGTGTAGACCACTTCCGGGAATGAGAGATTTCCTGGTAATGAAATGACTCTCCAAAAGCCAGAAAAAAATCCCTTATCTCCGGAATTTTCCGGGTAATGGAAAAATGTTCTTGGGAGTTCCAGAAATTGTCTGTTACATCATCTCTCGAACCCAGAAAAATATCCCCCATCCCCAGAATTTTCCGGGTAAAGTAGGCCCTTCAAATTCGCAGGGGTTAGGTTCTCAAATTGGCCACGAATCGCCAAATCCATAGATAACATTTGCTGACGGGAGGGGTTACATTTTTACTTGTGTACAAAGAAATTTAGATTCCCTTTATGTGTTTGTCCTTAGGACAATTATTTCTTTTACCTGTATTGTATATACAGTATGTGTGTGTGTGTGTGTGTAGACACACACATAATACATACAAATAAATAATAATGGGAAAATACTCTCACAAATAATCAGAAACAAATGTATTTTAAAAATGTTGAGTCTACCATCAAGTCTACTCCATGCTTTGTTATTAATAAAGCACAGAGTAGACTTGAGGGTAGACTCAACATTTTTAAAATACATTTGTTTCTGATTATTTGTGAGAGTATTTTCCCATTATTATTTATTTGTATGTATTATGTGTGTGTCTACACACACACACACACACATACTGTATATACAATACAGGTAAAAGAAATAATTGTCCTAAGGACAAACACATAAAGGGAATCTAAATTTCTTTGTACACAAGTAAAAATGTAACCCCCAGTACCGGTAAGCAAATGTTATTCGCGGATTTGGCGATTCACGGCCACTTTAAGAACCTAACCCCCGCGAATTTGAAGAGCATGCTTCAGTATTGTAATTCAATGTAATGAGCAACTTGTGTCATTGTTAATCTAACAGAGGTAATGCTATTGTACTTAATATGTTAGTACAGTAGAACTGCGATATAACACAAGATACGTTCAAGAGAGGTCGCTTTAAACCGAATTCGCACTAAATCGAAGTGCTGTTTCAATGGAATAATTTAGTTTGGTACTTGAGAGAAACACAAAATACTAAAAAGATGGAGAGTATACCCAGATGCACCTCAGCCCATCTCCTAGAATAAACAAAACATTGTTTTTTGTAGTATTATGTTAAAACAAATATTCATAAATCAACACAACTAAAATTAAGCAGGGCTGTGGAGTCGGAGTTGGAGTCGAGGAGTCGGAGGAAATTTCGGCTTGTGGAGTCGGAGTCGGAGTCGGTAAAATTGTCCAGACTCCGACTCCGACTGAAGCTATTCTGTTCCTGAGAACAAATATATGAACTCAGGCATATTCATTGCAGTGATTCCACTGATCCCACTAAGTTTCTTAAATTATTAAAAGAATTTATTTCCATTTTATAAGCATTATTATGAATTTATTGTAGCAGGCACAGTATAGCACTATAATTTTGGACGATAGTCTCTTCTTTACCATTTGAAATTTTGAATTATATCAAATTTTGTTTCGTTGAAAACTGCACAGAGGCTCTCAGCTACAAAACAATTAGCTACAACCTGTTTTTGGTGAGATTAAGGCAAATTTAATTTAATAACTTAATCATGTAAGGTTTATCCATTTTCCTTAATAAGGTATTCATTTCTTTAATGTACATAAATATATAATTTTACTTTAAAAGGAATTGTAGGATCATCATTTAGATCCACATCAGATTATGAGCTTAAACAAAATTCATATGCTGAGATCGAACTTTTATATATACATGTAAATGGTGTTTTCTAGTTAATATCTTGAATTCTTAATAAATTTATTTTTCTTTTGATTGAAACTTTGAAAGTCAAGCCTATCATCTTTTTGTAGTTCTTAAATATCGTCCAGATCATTAATAAAGCTGTAGCAGTATAGTCACGGTGTTTTACTTTTTACCTACGCAGGTTACAAGTTGTAACCATCCTAATTGTAATTTGTATGTTGTAACTTACAACATACAAATTACAATTAGGATGGTAGAAATAGTTGTTACAAATAGGCCAAGGAGTCGGAGTCGGAGTCGGAAGCATAAAAATTTGAGGAGTCGGAGTCGAAGGTTTTGTCTTCGACTCCACAGCCCTGAAATTAAGGGATGCAAAATGGTCTGTTTACTGGCTGGGAAGATGGGGGGGGGGAGAAGGGAGGTGAGGTGATATGTTTGACAGGTGTTCCCACTGTAATAATTGTTTATCAGACCACAGCTTACAGCCCAGAGAAGAACAACACATATAACAGTAAGTAGATGCCCACTTGGTAACCCACATAGGTTGACACACCCTACAGTGACAGTAAGACCTGACCCAGGAGAGGTCACAGACAAGGTACTTGAGTTAACCCTGTGATATGACCATGTTACAACCACACCTGGACAAACAAGCTGTCCAGACCTGACCCAGGAGAGGTCAGTCACATTGACCCAAAGTCCTTACCGCCACGCGATTAGCTTAACCTGGCGACATGACCGTGTTAAAGTAACCACACCCAGCCAAGACACACCTGGGTGGTAATAATTAGGAAGCATTACCGACCGGCGACATGACCACGCACCTGGACAAACACAGCCGTCCAGATCTAACCAGTTTAGTGTCAATTAGGAGAGGTCATCTGCCGGCTCTCTTCCAATATAAAGGCCCTGCAGCTCATTCCACGGGCAATTACTTTCATATCAGGGAAGACAGAAGACGGAGTCACGCTCGTCTCTAGTCAAGGTCGGGAGGAAAACTTCCCTCCCCAGCACCGCGTCTCCAGCAAGCAGAGTCTCCCATAGGAGACATAGTCTAGCAGCACCTGCTGGACCTCCCTCAGGTCACACGTGAGTCTTTGTCAGAGATATCCATAGGGTGAGTTACTTATGGTGGGAATTGTATTCATTTTATGTTTGTGTCCTAGAGTCAGTGTCTAGTAAATATAATGTTCTAGTAACTTTGATATAATGTTCTATTCATGTGTCCATGTCATTCAGTTAATTAATAAATAGTTGTATTGAAAGCGGTGTTTAGAGAAAGATTTCCCCCAAGAACGTATTTACAGTTAAATAACCAGCCACGCTACCAAACTTTCCTCTCTTTACAATCCTACAACTATAAATATTCTACCCATACCTTCTATAAGAGTTTTGACTTGTTATACCAAAGTCTAGTGCTTATTTATTTATCTGTCCTTAAGAGTGACTAAGTTTTTCTCTTTGAAAATGTCACTGAACTGACATGGCAGTATAGAACTAACATAAATGGAATTCTTATAAGACAGTGATTAATTTGAATATAAACATGCTATAGCTCGCATTAGACAAAAATGTTAGTTCTAATTTAAGAATCTTATTCCAAAGAGCAAAAATTTTTATCTCTTGTGCAAAATACTGTATATGACGTTAATATTCAAATTATTTGCTGTCTTGCAAGGATTCCAGCAATACAAATTATATTCTCCCAACTTTAGTCTGTGACATTATATAAGATAAAAACTTTAAGCCTAAAACACCAAACCCTGGCTGAGAAGATGGAGGGAGGGAGGGAAGTGACAGTGACATGTTTGACGCCGAAGGTCTAGTGAAGTATTTATTTGTTTATTTATGTCCTTTAGCTTGAGTTTATGTTTTTTGCTCATAATGTCACAAAACTGACCGGGGAGAATATTATTTACATTGCTGGAATTCTTATAAGATAATGATTAATTTGAATATAATCATGCTATAGTTTGCACTAGACAAAAATTCTAGTAATCATTTAGTACATTATTTTGAGTACATATACAGTACAGCTTTGCCCTTAGGACAGTGTAGCGTGCCCAAAGAAACATTAGGCGCGAATTTTAAAATATGATGCACCAGATTGACTCGTGCAAAATAGGAAAGATTCGCTTTAAATCAATAATCTTAAATTGAATCGCTTTAAATCGACGTTCTACTGTACTGGTCAGTAAATGGTGTGAAAATATACAATAATTGTTGTTATAGAATAGTACTGTACAGTATTTTCAACTATGACAGAAAAACTACATATATGACTAGTGGTGAAGGCATGAAATTTCATAGTGGTTTTAGCCGTTTTCCTCTGCCTGGTGGTGACGGGCCCCCCAACAGCCACTGTGCCGTGCTATCCTTTCAGTCATTAGTGTCAGGCCCGTCTCATGAATTTCCAGATCTGACCATATAAAAGGTATAAAAGAGGGACTACTTTGACAGGCAGTACAAAACTGCAAAATACGTATACACAATAACTAATTCTTTATAATGAACGAATTGCTAATCTTCACACCAAATATCTTTTCAGAGATAAAATTAAAAAATTCTGCAAATGGTACATCTAAAAAAAGAAATTTATCCTAGAGAAAATTATTAATTTCTTTTTCAATAATTTCTTTTTCCTTGACAACAAACAACACTATTTGTAGAAATAAGTCTACAATATCAGTACTGAAATAAAATGATGCCCAACATTAATATAATACACCGTAAGGACAGTGTAAAGATTAAGCGCAAGTGTAACAATATGTAGACCACTTGCGTAATCTTGTCAATATTTAAATGGAATCATAATAAACTTATAACAGAAGAATAATGCATTACATGAGTTTTAGTCCAGCACCATATTACATGAAAAAAAAATTATGTTTGAGTCAAGTGAAAAAAACTTACTTCTACTTTTAAGATGGACAGCTATAAACTTTCCCCAAATACACCATGTAATAAAATTTCTAATATTTTTAAGTATCATGCAATAACCTTTAAAATGCCTGTACAGCACATGCCAAACAGTCATATCTGTGTGTAATGTGGATAAGTACACTCGGTAAAAAAACTACTGTTACAATTCCTGCGCAAAACAAACTGACACTACAAACGAAGTGTCTCAAAAAGGCCCCTGAGGCATTCCTCGCATTGGTAGCCCTGCGCGTGCATGGGTTCGGCCACAAGCACTCAAAACAAGTGATCGGCACTCTGAAACGAGTCAGAGTTAGTGCTGCCACACTAACACAATTTGAAACTTTATCGGAACTCTATGCCTCATTTCTCCATGTCGAATACACATTGTGAGCGGTGATGTAGCAGCCTAATATTGTGATTTATGTAATTAGTGCTACCAACATTTCCTGATACCTTACATAAAGAATGTGTATGTTATATGAACTGTGGAGCTATTCACATGTTTCAGAACAGCTTGGTATATTTTACAATATACAAATAAAGAATGACATAATGTAACATTAGTCCAAAGTGAAGCAGCAGTACAAATAGATTCAAAATTCGGTTGCAAAATAATATTATACCTTCACTATATCCACTAATTCCGCCAAACATATAAAGCATTCCTATATGGCAACTCATCCACTTCCATGGTTACTGTAGTCCATGGTGTGTGGAACATTTAATATAACATACAGTTTAACTTATCTAGTCATAGTGTAACAAAATAATTCAATATTGTCAATGTAATAGCTAATTTCGGCCTACCAAATTAAGTACGAAATGTTTCACATTCAGGCCTACCGACCCTCGCGAGACAACGGGAATGTTCAGTTGGAAAATCATCGGACCCCACCTGTACGGTAGCGTTTTACAGAGTGTACATCAAGTCTATACTGTACAGTAAATACAATCATTCTTAAATCAGTTTCCACCACACCTATGGCACTCAACACTCAATTACTATATGAAGTAATTTAAAGACAGCTCCCATGATATACATTTGCAAAGACCATGGACTTAAGTTTACAAGGAATATCTGTTAAGCACCAATAACTTCAAGCACATCACAGCCTTGTACAGTAACTGTGATGTTTATAAGAGTAAGGCAGTCTGATCAGCCAAGATCAGGTGGCAGCAGTGTGTTACTTACTTGGACAGGTTGAGGAGTGATATTATTTGCTTTCATGTAGGACAAAACCTGATCTGGAACTTCAGCCAGCACTTCTCTAGCTAGCCTATACCTAGCCATGTTAGGATCCCCACCCCCCTTTAAAAAATCTCTAAAAGGCACAAATTGTACTATGTCTTGAACAGCATACCGACCATTACTGGAGAGACGCACAACATCTCCATCTAATTCCTCCATGTTAGCAAAGTCAGCTTCCCCTACTCCCACAATAATGATGGACAGGGGCAAGGAAGAAGCATTAACGATTGCCTGAAAGTAAAGGGGGAAATGAAAACCATATGAAGAACACACAATAAAATTATTGTACGTTAATCTTGTCTTCCAATTTAAATTAAAGTTGGTTTAGTAACTGAAATATTTCATATTAAATACATATAAGAATGGTAAAGTGTCAGGTATATAAAACATTATAAGTAGCATCTCCATAGTGAATGGGTTAAAAAGCAGGTCCCAGGTTATTTACACAAGTAATCCTTCTACAGGTCACCTACAGTAATCAACAATACCCTGAGTATTCGTCTTTAGTATAACTCTGCTTGATATAAACAAACATTCTTCTCATATATAAATCCCTAGGAAAATAGGTTCATTTCACTGCCTTTTCACTGGAAACACAGAATTACAAAATACAACCAGGTCCTGAGTCACCTTACATATTTAACACCCCTCTGAGACTAGATTTTAATTATCTATGACTTCTTCACATAAGATGAAGCCATAAAGTTAGCAACTGCCTGTCTGTGTATGTCAGAAAATTCAACAAACTGATCAATTTCCCTCATCACAGTGCTAAATTCATCAGTTCATATATCACTCAACGATATCCTAATCTAAAACTACAGTATTTTCATTCCTATGACCAAAACAAGGGGCTCTAAAACCTACATCACACACAAGAAATTTAACATCAATGACCCACATTAATAATATTTCCCTTTCCCTCATTACTTTTACCTAGCGCATCATCTTTTTTATCAATTAAATATTCCTCTGCTTTCCAGAATATCCAGTGAGTTCTAATAACAACACTAAATAAACTTATCATTGCAAAGTCCTCAATAATTATAAATATCACATTTCTCTTATGAATACAAACCCCATATACAAACAACTCATAGTTTACCTCTTTTGTCTGAGGCATGTCAGTAATAATCCCATCAGTCAGAATCAGAAGAATAAAGTACTTATCTCCACCCCGGCTAGAGGTGGCAAAGCGGGCAACATGATTGATAATTGGAGCAAAATTCGTTGGTCCATACAACTGAACACGATTCAGACAACTGTAGTACGCCTCAACAACTCCTGCAGAGAATAAGATATTGATGACAAATAGGTCTCACAGGTTGGTACTTATGTACAAACATGCTTTTCGTCACCTAATATCCAAGTGCATGTATATGTGCACATGCAAGCACACACACACACACACACACATGCAAGCATCCATATACACACATGTTGAAGCACTTCAAATTATACAGTATAGTATATTCAATGTACATAATTGCTTTTGGTGAATAGCATTTTTAAGTACAAATAAAGCTTAAATTCCATTAAGAGAGACTCAAAGGCTAACCATTAACTCTGTAACAGTAGGGATTTGAAGTATCTCCATTTACAAAGAACTCATGTGACACTTTCTGAAAATCTGGAGGCATCCTGGCACCAAAGCCAAGAACTGGAAAGTATTTATCTGTGTCATAATCTTCAATGATCTCCCCAACTGACTGGATGGCTCGAACATACTGGTTTGGAGCTCCTGGATTGATATAGTGTAGGGAATGTGCCGTTTGAGGGTTACCATTTGATGCTGTAAGAATAAAACCACATATCATCTTTCTGTATGAGTGAATGGGTGAATGTCAGTGCATGTAAGTGACTGACTACAAGGATGTAGTATCTACATTTACGGTAAGTAAATGTCATCACATGTGCAGTACTGCAATATATATCCAAGAGAATATCCTGGAAAAGATAATATGAAGCTGAATTTTAGTACCGTAAATGTGTACATTATCAATTTTCACATAGTTTGCCAAAAAATACAGAAATAAAGCTTCTATTGAATTATAAACTAAGCAAAAAAATAAAATAATTAAAATAATGTACAATATCACAACACATGTTAAAGGATTCATTAATATAGTAATGTCATGATAATATCATGATACTGTGTGTACAAACCTGTGAAATCAATAGCAATGAATGCATTTATCTCCATGCCACCCTTGATGTAGTCAATGAATGAGTAAACCTGACGAACATGGGCCTTATTAACCATCACTTCCCCAGAGTTCTTGTAGCTACTGCCCTTTTTCTTCTGTGAAAATATAAAATTAGGAATTTTTTTATATTTTACTAACCAATTGTTTCTACTGAACAATATTTCTATTCTTGGAAAACTTATTTTTATCCACACAAAAAATTTAACTCAAATAAATCTGACATGCTCCATTCTGCTAAAAATAGAGAAAGTAACCATTGAGCTTGCCATGTTACAATTACCAATGTCGTTTAGTATTGAAACAAAATTATTCAGATTTAAAGGTGAAAATTAAGGATATTTATTATCTTCTCTTGTACTAAAATACCATCATTTAGGCAACATAACATGGAAATTTCTGCAATATTCTACTACAACTCACAAAATGTTTGAAAAACATGTGTCCTTGGCAAGGTGAAAAACATTAACTGGACAGATGGACAGATAGACATACCGGTAATGAATAGGAAAAACACAGAATAGTATATGTGAAGAAAGTCCATTAAATTGAGGGTCCGTTAGATGTAAAACCTCCATCTTACAGATTATATTGAGATCCTTGACTCTTAATTAAGTTCTTTAAATTTATAATTTCCACTTAAACTATCTTTACAAGATGTCTTTATTTTCATTAATTAGAACCCTTCTCACAAAACTTCGGAACTGATCCAAAAATCCTATTTTATAGCCAAGGAAAAATTATGTTATTCATAGACTGTGGTAGCTGTACCCTCTAATCTCTCTTTTTTATA